ACTCCCTGTGTAGCTATGTTTATCTCAAGCTAGCAAAAATATCATGTTTTTCTTTTTATCTTTTCTCTTTATTATTTTACAAAATCAGAGAACAGGAGGGCAGAACAGGTTCTGGGTGAGGGTGGGTGTTGGCACCAGTGGGAGGAGGAGGTGGTGGGGAAAGGGGGCAGGAGGATAAATATGGTGCAAATAATGTATACACATGTATGTAAATGCAAAAATGATACCTGTTGAAACTATTCCATCAATGGGGGGAAGGGGTAAAGGAGAGCAGTGGAGGGGGTGAATTCAGGTATGATATACTTGATACATTATAAGAACTTTTGTAAATGCTACAATGTACCCCCTCCCAGCACAACAATAAAAGAAAAAAAATAAACAAACAATTAGGATTTTTAATTTAAAAAAAGAAAGTACATAGCATTGTATAATAATATTTCAGAATAAGATCAATCCATGAGGTACAAAAGGTCTTCGACATGAAGGTAGAAGGTTTTCATTCTTTAGGTTTGTGAGTATTATAAAACTTTGAAAAAGTAAAGTTATTACTTAATTCATCAATATGGTTATAAGGGGGAATTAAGGTCGAAGTTTATTCACACAGTACTAAATTCAGGTGAAAGGCTTGCTGTGAAGATTTATGAAAACCTATCTACTTATGGACAAGATCTATTGGCAAAGAAAATACTTGCATATGGTACACAGCCCTCATTTTTAATTGCTTTATTTTATTTAGAGGCTCTAATATTTTAGCGTCCCTGATTTATGGATTTCTAGGAAGAGAAACTAATATGTAATTATAAAACTACAAGAGTTGTATTAGTTTCCTATGGTTGCTCTAACAAACTTAGCAGCTTAAACAATACAAATGTATTATCTTGCAAATCTGGAGGTCAGCCATCCAAATAGGTCTCACTGTGCCAAAGTCAAGGTCTCAGGAGGACTGCCTTTCTTCCAGTTGCTCCAGGGGAAATCAGTTTGTCTTTTCCATCCCCTAATAATCTCTCACATTCCTTGGCCACTGGCACCTTCATCTCCACAGCCAACAGTAGGTAGACCGAATCTTTCCCCTGCTGTCATCTTTTTCTCTTCTACTTGCCTCTTCCAACTTTAAGGACCTTGTGATTGTGTTGGGTCCACCTGGCTATCACAGGACACTCCCCATACTGTAGAGTCAGTTGGTTATCACCCTTAATTTCATCTGTGAACTTGATGCCCCTTTGCCAAGTAATATATTCCTAGATTCTAAGATTAAAATTTGAACATCTTTAAGGAGGAGGGGACATTATTCTGCCTACCACATGAATCATAATCTATTTTTAATTAATAAGCATCAGGCATAATATGCCAGGTGCTTCACAAAATCTTTGCCCTCCAAGGCTTGGTTTGGGAATGTGGGTGGCAGGAAGGGTAAGCAAGTACTCTTTCATTTTAGTGCTAAGCAGCAGGTGCTGACAAGCATTTAATGACCAGTTCTAGGAGAAAGGGAGATTGATCTGTGGCATTGGCTAATTTCTGCAGCATAAATATTCCTACCATACTCAGTTTCAGGCTACCAACATGATATCACATAACTCACAAAGCTTCTGAAAATTTAACAAGCCATTGTCACAAGCCAGAAGAAGTCAGCTCTAGCACAGCACTTAAGGCATATAATATCATCAATGTTCTCTAGCTTGGGGAATGCAAGTTTGAGAAAGCAACCAGTGCTCTCTCCAAAGGCCCCCCTTCACCCTAAGATTAGCTTTCTCTGGACTCCATTGACATGAATAGATGCTAAAGAGCTGGCTGCCTTCTGTTTACTGAAGATCAAAGAACACACACAAGGGCTGGGGGTATGGCTCAAGTGGTAGAGCACCTGCCTAAAAAGCATAATGCCCTGAGTTCAAACTCCAGTACCACCAAAGACAAAGAACACACACAAATACTTATGGAGATTATGCTTACTCGCCCTTTACTGAATGTCACGACACAGCTGGTGACCCATTAGAATGAGTCTAGAATCCCCTTGTGACCTCTCCTCTGTTCCTCTCTGAAAAACCTGAAGCACAGGGTAGGGAGAAGAACAAGACCAGAGTCCAAGCAAGATGCTCTTGGGTGGCAATAGCTGCTTGGCTTCTGCTTGGCTCAGACTTCCCAGGCAGCGGTCATTTGCCTGGGAAGGAGGGCAGTGTTTTGCAGACTGGTATCCATGGGTGCATTTGCTGTGCATTTTAAAGAATAAGTGCTCCATAAGCATAGCCATTATCACTTCCCATGGCCATTATCACACTGGCAAGGTAAACTATGTCACTTCTAGATGGCTAATGTCCACTTTTCTATCTGACACAAGTTACTAAATAGGCTTATGTTTAGCAGGAAAAGCCACAGATTTATGTTCTAACAGAAAGGGCTGAGTCCTGGTGATAACTCAGGCCAATCAGCCAGAGAAATCAAGTCTCTGGAAGGATAAGGGTGGGTGGCTCATTCTTCTATAAGACTATTTAAATTAATGCTCCCTGAACTATCATGTGCACAGGAATCACCCAGAGAAGTTGTTAAAGTGTGGATTCTGACTTAGCAGTTTGGAGCTATGCTCAAGATTCTGCACTCCAGCAAATTCTAGGTGATGCTTATGCTGCTCATTCGGGGGATTTTTTTCTTTTTTGGTCCTGGTAACTGATTTGAACTCAAGGTCTTGCACTTGAGTGGCATCCCCAGCCCAAGGGTCACATTTTGTGTGGGAAAAAGCTACAGCTCAAGTCTCTCTCTGTCCCTAATTCTCCAGCAGATTTAGAGTAAGCATTCAGCTGTCATTTTAGCAGAGCCAGTCTGATGAGGTTTCTGTACTCAATGATCACTATAGGTTTAGTGTTGGTGCAACTTGGAAGGAGAAAAATTGCTGCTTGTACTCAATGTATAAACAGAGTTTCAGCCACTAACATATAAGAGTGGTATATGATATTGACTCATGAGAAATGAGCTATAAATAATCCACAAGCCAGCCAATCATGGGGGTTAAGTGACAACTAATAAATGACTTTCAGGACAAGAGTCTGCAACACAGTAATTCCTCAGGGTCTACGAGGCTCTTAACTAGTTCCCGGCGATGATTTCTGCCACATGAAATGCAGACAGATTGTATAAAGTGAGCACTTCTTCCACAATTATAGACCAAAGCATGAACTTTCCTTTGAAGGGGCAAGTGGGAGAGGAAAAAAGAAATGGATGAAGAACAGAAAAGTTGGGAACAGAAGAGTACAGAGAGTTGGGGACTGGCAGCTTACACCTGTAATCCTAGCTACTCAGAAGGCACAGACCAGGAGGATCGGATCGTGGTTCAAAGCCAGCCCCTGGCAAATAGTTAGAATGATCCTATCTTGAAAATATCCAACACAAAGAAAAGGCTGACAGAGTGGCTCAAGTAGCAAGTGTAAGACCCTGAGTTCAAATCCAAACACCACACACACACAAAAAACACACACACACAGAAAGAGGTAAACAAAAACAAAGTTATTATAAAGTTCTTTTCAGTGAAGGTAAAATAACTGCTCAATTTGAAATTGACAAAATGTTCTCATACTCTGTATATATATCCAGCATTTTATAGCAGTTCTTCAAGTGCAAATTCAGTCTTTTTTTTTTTTTGTGGTACTGGGACCTGAACTCAGGGCCTACACCTTGTGCCATTCCACCAGCCCTTTTCTGTGAAGGGTTTTTCAAGATAGAGTCTCGAAAACTATTTCCCCAGGCTGGCTTTGAACCACGATCCTCCTGATGTCTGCCTCCTGAGTAGCTAGGATTATAGGCGTGAGCCACCCGCGCCTGACTGCAAATCCAGTCTTACCTCTACCCTCAGAGCCTACATCTCTAGAACAAGAGGATGCCTTGGAACTCGGAAGCAGAGGCAACACTTAAGGAATCATTTTACAGGAATAGTTCAGAAGAGGTTGTGTGCCTGACCATGGTCACACAGCATAACAAACACCTTCCAAAGAAGACTAGCCTGCTCCCAGCCTAGAAAAGAATTCTCCAAGGGAGGGGAAGAATTATATTCTCTCATGTGTTCCATAAAAGCCATCAGTTTTTGGCTTCAATGACTAACTGACAAAACATTTATTGCTTGATATCTAGGTTTACATTTTGGCCAAGATTTAATCTTTAAAAGAAAAAAAGAAAGGCAAAAAAAAAAGGAATTGTGTTCCCTTGAATTGCACCTGTACCAGGTGTCACATGGTGGTCAGCATCATGAGTCAATCCTCTTCCCCAGTCTCCTAACATTTAAAATCCACTTCAGCTTAGGGCTTTGGAGAGAATGGGAGTAGGAGGGAGGGGTAAGGCTAAACCAACTCTCCATTCTTCCTTCTTCTCTAGAAGATGAGCATTTTAAGAGATTTCCCTAAAATGCAGAAATTATATCAAAACTAAAAGCATCACTTTGATGTTTAGAGTAGATTATATCAAGCTAGACTTAGTGGCACATGCCTATAACACCAACACTTGGGAGGTGGAGGTGAGGAACATGAGTTCAAGGCCAACCTGGGATATATAGCAAAATCCTGTCTCAAAAGAAAAAAGAATAGGTCATATCACTAATACTGAAATGCAAATGCAAGCTTTCTCTTTTATAGGTAAGCAGGCATGTTTACCTATATTATGCTCACCCTGGAAAATCCAACAGCTGGAGATAAATATGACAGGGTGCCACTAGCTGCCATTGTTACTAACTGGTAACCTCTAACTTTGCCTTCAGGCCAAATATTCAGTTAATACTTGAATTGAGACAGTGCGGTGACTCAGAACCCGAGCTCTGAGGCCAGTTTGCTGGGATGTGAATCTTAGTCCTTCTAATTACTTGGGGAAGTTATCATCCCTCTCTGTGTCACTTCCTCCTTAGCAAAATTAGGTAGTACCTACCTCAACACATCACAGTGAGGATTAAATAATATGGACAATGTCTACAAGAGAACCTGACATAACCCTCAGTAAACATTAGCTAATCACCCTCTCCACCTTCGTACCTTCTCTCTCTGAATTGCCTTCATTTTTTGGAGCTCAGCTTCTTCAGCTTCCTTCTTGATTCTTAAAGATTCTTCTCTCTTTAGCTAAATTGTATTGAGATTACAGAGGACAAAAAAGTTACCAATTTTCCACCTGAACTTCTAGAACACAAAATTATGATGAAAGGCAAATTACAGTATTGTTTGTGCTATACCTCACCATGATTATAGGTTGCTACTTCAAGCTACTCAGATCGCAGACAATGGCCAGGCTATGTCTCCTGCCTGTGAAATTGCTATGTTCTTCTTTTTTTGTGTATATGTGTAGATCTCTCTTACCCTCCCTCTCTCTCTCTCCCTGTGTGGGGTGTATGTTTGTGTGTGTGTGTGTGTGTGTGTGTGTGTGTGTGTGTGTAGGTAGGTAGAAAGAACAGATAATTTTTCCTCATTATAAAACTCACAGTAGTCATTATTTTTTTTTAAATCACTGGATATCTTAAGCTTTTTTGTGCTACTTCTATGATTGGCATGGGATAAAAGCAATTCTTGGAATCAAAACATTCAAAACATAGTAGACTTAAAGGATAGGTAATACATAATTAAACTAGAAAGCAATTACCTTAATCAAAGGTCATGCCAATAAATATATGACTTGGATAAAAATTCTAGATATTTATCTTCACCTCTTACTTCCTGACTTTTTTTTATTTTGAGAGCTATGTTTTGCAACTGGTGTAAAGGTTTTATACTTTTGGTAAAGGTACTGTGTTATTTCATGGTTACTTGAAAGTACGGGTACTCAAATTCTTTGCCAGAATTAAACTAGAAGAGATGGATTCTGACCTTTTTCTGGTATTTAGATTGCATCAGTTGGAGTTGTTGTTTCTGTCTTACTTCAGACTCCAATTGGTTTCCACCTATAGGGGAAAAGATGTCAGCCATTAAGGACTAATTAATACATGGTTAGTCTATAGACTGAGTTTCTTTAACATTTTCTTCCCACTGGAAATAACTGGTTATCTTAAGACCTTAGAGAACGGTAATTTCTTTAAAAGTAATTTTTTTTTTAAAGAGAGAAACAGAGTAAAAAGATGTGGCCATGCTTTTAAAAGGACAATAGCACTACAGATTTTTGACCAGGAGGTGTTAAAGTTTTACTTAGATTGAAATCATAACTGAAAAGTCATGCTAAGTCATAAGAAATACTGTCAGTCTTAGAAATTCTAGAACATTCTTCCTGCTTGACTATGACTGCTATTCACCACAGAAAGATAAAGACCATTGATGCTTCAAGTGCTTTTCTTGAAGTTCTTTTCTTCTTCTACCTCTATTGCCCTATGTTTAAGCAGGGAACCTCAGGAAACCCTCCAAGGCTCTCGTCTCTACAGAAGTATGTACTCTTTGTAACCCAGTCTTTTATATATGGGAATATTCTAGCTAGTAACTATCAGTCAATACTATTTATTATCCTTTCTTTAGGTATTCAAGAGAAAAACGAGGAGATAAGATTATTTGCTTGCTTTCTCTTAAAAAAAATCTGGAGCCAGATATCTTCATAGCTTGGCACTCATCTAAGAATTGTTACTGAGGGATTGCTCAGTATTTATGCAAGCTTGGTGTTCATATTAGAAAGATTCCTTTGAAATAATTCTCTGGTGCCTTGGTCACTAGAAGCACCAGATCCCTGAAATATTCACTATCACAGAAGATGCATTAAAACAATTTGCATCCACTCTAATTTTTATCACTGATCTCATAAAGACATTGTAGGAGTTTTCTTCTAAGCTCCAAAAGATTTACAAGTCCTATTAGGTTTGGGCATCTTTTGTGAGAGATGAGAAAGACACAGCAAGGAATACTGACGCTTTTATCTATTGTTATAGCTACTTTCAGTATCTCCTACAATTCCAGTATTTTAAGTGATAGAGAAATAGGGGAGGAGTTGAGAGAAGAAATGGAAAGGCCAAATGTTTAAGCATTTGTAGGTTTTGTTCAAAATTCATCTCAAAGCTTAACACATTTTAGAATTTTTTCTACTCCCCCAACCCCTCCCCTACCACATCCTGACCATTTCTACAGACTTCATAAAAAGGAAAGTTAAAAATGAGAATCTTGTTTATTTTCTGCTAAGGATGAAAGACAATGATCCAAGTTCCAAAGTGAAGTGCCTGACCCCCCAAAAAGATCTGCATGGAAGAACTAAAAACTAGTTCAGAGAATCTTTACTAGGAACTACTTTCAAGCTATCAAAGAGGTCAAAGGGAGGTTAAAATCACAGGAAGTATGTCTTTCTGAATTCTATCTCCTCTATGTTTATGTTTGAGGAAGGAAAATTCTTCGCACCAAGATAAGCAAGAAAGAAAATCACCTGAAGACCTCAACCTGCACCCCTAGAAGTGTAGGAGATGCCTAGAAAAGTCAAAGCCAAAAGGCACAAGATTGTTGTCAGTTGGCTACTTAAATGGGTACTCAGTTCGAGGTGGCTGAATTGCAAATGATCTGTCTTCCAGAGTTTGAGGGGAGAAAGATGCATTAGTGTTGCCTGGACTTCCCAGTCGGATCTCATGAGAGAGGATGAGAGAGTACCAATCTAAAGCCATCTTAGAGGGATGCATCTATGGGGACCTACAGAACAATGAGCCCTACAAAGAATCTGCCAAGAGCCAACACGAGGTCTAGAGCTGCCAACAGGAGAGAATATCACCTCTACCAAGGAAATCGGTAGGAAATGGAGAACTCAAAGAACTCCAAGATGGAGAATGAGCAGTCAGCATGCACTCAGGCTCAGTGCATGACCCCTCTTACCTCCCCTTCCCTTTGACCCTGGAGGAGTCAGATCTGGGAACAGCAGTCTGTAGAGGAAAGTCCAGCCACACCCCCTCTCCCTTGCTAGCTTCTACCCAGAAACAGCCTGAGTTGGAGCTGGGAGCAGCATTACTCTCCATTAGCAACCAGTTTTCACCAGGAGCAAGGACCGAAGACTACTTACTGAAGTGAGACTGTATTATGTCTCGGATTGTCTAGAAAGACAGAAAAAGATTTAATTTCTCACCATATCCAAAGAACATGGGAAAGACTAGCTCCACACAGCAGGTTTGAGGGGAGTGGTTAGGAAAGGCTGTTTTTGATTATGCCCCTCAAGTCTGGCTTATTCAGCATTAAGGTGACACTTGAGCTTAACCCTTTTTGTGGAATATGCATTAAATGATTTCCAAATGAGCCAATTCTTCTTGCATCCTAGAAAAAACTACTTCCCTACAGCTATCATGACAGTAAGTGGTCCTGACTCAAGACATGCTTTGAGCTGTGAGATCTGTGTCCAGCTCTTTAAGTTCTCAGCTGCAGGTGGTTAAGAAAAGAGAAGGAAGGAGGTGAATGGTTTCAATTAGATGGTACCCTCTCCAGTGTCAAACACTGTAGACATGGCCTAGACAATTCATCACACTAGCAGCACCTGCTTCAGCAGCCCAAAGGTCTCTATCCCTAGAATAAAACCCCAGGTGACATTTGTCCACCACTGAGTCCCCTTCTCACTCTCATCTTGCTTTTGGAATTGACTCTCCCTTAATTTTCTTCTCATTAGCATTTAACTGCATGATTAATATGCTGTGATCACTTTTCCTCTCATCCTGACTAGCACAACAGTAGGGTATATGCAGTGCCCCAGGTAAGATTTCTTCAGAGTTGATCATCTAAGAGGCTCTGAATGATTTGGCAATTAAGCCATCACTTTATTCCCACATAACTGTGGCATGATACATTTTCTACTTGCTGAAAACCAGAAACAACGTATACCTGCACACTTAAATGTTTTGATGTCAAACACATTCCATCCTAAGCAGTATGACCGAACAACCTCTAACATACAAAGACAGACATATGCAGGTGCCAGCAGAATCTGTGGGTGGCCCTGCTACCTGGTTTGCTGCTTACCCAGTTGCCTTGGCACCAGGTGAATGGGTTTTGCTCTATTCTGCTGCTTCCATTTCTCCAGGTTTGCCAGCTCTTCCTCAGCAACTAAGCCAGGTGAGAAATTGCAAATCATCAATTATTAGAATTGAGAAAGAAAACTGGCCATTTCAAAGCATAAGATGCAACATCAGACAGCTAGCTATATGCTAGCATGAATGGATAAGATATGTAGGAAAAGAAGGCAGCCCTAACTCCTGGAGTCAGCCTGGGCCCACTCCTGTGACACTTTCTCTCCAAGTGTCTGCACAGAGGGTACAAATTTGAAAAACCTGAGCTCCTGCCAAAACAAAGGAGAATAGTTTTTCTCTCCAATTCTGGCATTCTTAGAACCTACATCAAGTTGATCTTTAAGCTTTCTTATAGCAAATGCAAAACTAGAATATTCATGTGTCAATAGCAAATTCTAATGCCTATATATTAAATGTTTCCCAAACTCACTACAACTAGGCAGAGCCTGCTTGCTCCCTGCAGAGGAGTTGGGGGGAGCAGGTTTCATTGCCCAAATAGTCACTCTTCATGACAGCAGGGGGCATCAGGGAGATATTAGTTCTGTTCCTCCAGTTTATGCCCTTAGTCTGCACACTAGACCAATGTTTTAAATGTTCGTTTATGAAGATTTTTTTTAATTAGATAAATAAAAATTGTGAAACATCTCAAAATTCAGACAACAATAAGACTTGGACTCCTGTTAAGTATTTAAATCAAAAGCTTCTAAGGTGTCAGAACCTTTGGAATTCTGTTAACTACTGCGTGTAGTTCCCATAGTCATTGCAGAGCTATGATTGTCAATCTGTACTGACTCATTGTTCCATCCAGAGGCTACTTGTCTCCTGGGAACCTTTCAGATACCTGATTTCCTATTATGTCCTTATCCCACCATTAATTAAAAATTAAATTTCCTACCAATGATCTAATAAAGGATAACATAGATTTCAGTACTGGCCCCACTGCTTGGACTGAACACGTCTCAAAGCTTCCTTGTAAATTTTAAATTTTAGCTCTCCTTGTAACCCTGGAAGATGTTATAACAACACTAAAAGGTGGCATTTATATTTGCTATACTTCAATTCAACATGTGACACACTAAGTATAAAATAAGATGCTATCCCTGCCAAGGAAGTTATAATCTAGGGAAGGAAACTGAATTACACAAAATAGCTGAGGAACCAAGCATGGTTGTACATACTTCTAATCTTAGGACTCAGGAGGCTGAAGCAGAAAAACAAAAAAACAAACAAAAACAATTCCTAGTGCCATTAAAATATCAACAGTCCACTCAATGCTTCAGGGATGAAATGTATCTATTGGCAATAGGTGTGAAGTTGTTTAGGCCTAACAGAAAAACAGGATTTACAATTATTCCACAAACTCCATTACTGATATAGAGAAACAAATTTCGAAGTACTAACAACAGAACAATTTTAAAGGTATAATTCAAACTGCTAACATTAAAAAAGAAAAGACCTTGATGAGATCTGGCAAGTCTATATAAATCAGAAAATAAAAATGTTTCAAGTCAAAACAAACCAATTAATTTAAAAAATAGGAAGCATTCTGAATATTGAGTGAATAAATATACATACTCCTTTGTATCAGATGTCTCCGGTTTTCATTTGGTGCTATCAAGGTGTATGCACCTGTGCTAGAATGAAGAGGGGAAAAATGGTTATTATCATGAGAAACTATTAATGCATCTAAGCCATCAGTCAGTCTTTCTCCTGGTATACTGGCCCATCAGGTAGGTACTATGGAAGGTAATCTTCTCAAGACCCAGGTCTGCTCTTTAGGAACAGTTTATCATTAGTTGTCAAAATAAGACAAATGGATATAGTCAAAAACAGAAATAAAAAGCAGTGGGTGGAGTGACAAGATCTTGGTACAACTGCTTCATCACTGGTTCTTGGTTGACTGTCCATCCAGGGCTCCATTGCTCCTCTAGGTGGGGCTTGTGGGTAAATCCCTTTAGAATTGATCTTCTAGGTGACCCACATTGGAAAAACAGGAAACCCTGGTGCATTCTTTGTTCCCACAAACTGATAGTATAGGCCATTGCCATAGAACAACCTCCTTTTGATAACCCAGCAGAGTCACCAACTGGCCACAGTCTTGTGCTTTTAGGCTTTGACTTTTATAAGCTTGGGTCCCTCATTCTCCTAAGGACACAGGTTGAGCATAATTAGGAGCTCAGAGAAACAGAAACTTCATTTAAGCAAAAATATTCAACATTGCCAAACCAGGAATACTGAGGTAGTGAAAATACTGTGAGCTTTTGAGGGCCCCAGGTGGAGTGGATTGATGTGTATTCCAGCTCTGTGCGCAGTACCTGGCACAGGGTGGCTACATGAAGAAAAGTGGGCTTAGTTGAAATAAAATGATGCCACAGATCCAGGCTGTGACTCTGTGCTGGAGGTGGCTCTTCTTTGCACTGATGCATGTGGTCTCACAAGAGTGTGAATAGTTCATAAAGCAAAAATATAGCACAGCAACAGACTGCAGCATACAAGTGGGGACAGTTTTAGAGGAAATGCTTTGGATAAACACAACTAGCTTATAACTGTAAGTTTAAAAAACAAAACAAAACACTAGATACTCTTAGACGTCTCTTCAACCTGGAATGTACCATTTCAAAGTGCAAATTAGTAAAGAGAAACAGTAGAGGCCAAAACTGCTTGCTGATTAACAGAAGCTATTTCTTCCTTACCTACCAGCAAGTCTTCAGCCAGCTTCAAACTGGGCTTTGATATTAGACTTGTAAATGTGAAGTGTGCACCACTTTTGCATGCAAATGGGGCTGTTGGTTGCCCAAATACCTAATGTATATCAGCAGCTATTGCATGGGTGGCCTAGCATGCATGCAATGTTACAAATACAGAATTAGAAGGCTGCCGCTGGAAATTAATCCCTTATCTGTTACATATTCTGTGTTCACACTACGAAAGATTTTTCACTCCTTAATTGCCAATTCTTTGTAGGAGCTTGGGAGCTGCGACTCTGTGGGTCATTGCTGGACACATGAATATGATGCAGAGCTTTACAGCTGAAACATAGGATACTGGATTTAAATGCCATCCGTGAAATTGCTGCACCATCTTTATTGTCTGCTAAGACTGTGGTGGATTGCGTTTCGCAATACCAGGGATTTGCATATGATGCAGATTAGCAGGTCTTTACTTTTATCATGTTTCAGAATCACTTGCACAGATTGTTGACAGGCTTGGTAAAGGGCAGTTTCTGATTTAGTAGCTCTGAAGTGAGGTTCAATAACACACATTTTTTTAAGCTATGGAACACTTTGCGAATTTGTGAGTCATCCTTGCACAGGGGCCATGCTAATCTGTGTATTGTTTCAGTTTTAGTATATGTGCTGTTGAAGTAAGCACAATAGCATGCATTTTAAACAGGTTCCCAACTGATGCTGATATTCTTGCCCAAGGAACCACACTTGGAGAACAACTGCAGATCAATAATACTATCTGCTATGGTTCAAATATAGTTTGTCCCCACCAAAACTCATGTTGATGCTTGGTTCCAATGTAATGGTGTTGGAAATAGTGGTGCCTATAAGAGGTGTTGTGGGCCATGGGCTACTCTTGGAAGGGATTAAGGCCCATCTCATAGAAATGGAAGATTCATTATGAAGCGAAGTCTGCTTGGTCTTTTGTACTTGCTCACTCCCCTTCTGCTTTGCAGCCAGAGGCCCTCACCAGATCTGATGTCATGTTGTTTGGACTCTCTAACTACCACAATTGTGAGCCAAATAAACCTCTTTATTGAAAACATTACCCAGGGACTGGTGTAGTGGCTCATGTGGTAGAACACCTTCCTAGCAAGCATGAGACCCCAAGTTCAAACCCCAGTACCACCAAAAAAAATAAAACATTACCCAGTATCAGGTACTCAGTTATAGCAACAAAAAAAAACCTAAGAAATTATATGGGACATTTTGTTTAAAAGGGAAATTAGGAGTTAATAAATCTTTGATAAAGACAGAGGTTAAATCATGTGCCAAAGATCACCGGGTTAACTACAAGGGAGAGACTCCAACCTAGGACTTTTGACACAGACAAGTTAACTATCTGCAGTTAACTTTTCAACTCAATATAGAAAGCATAAAATATGACTGTCCTTTAATTTCAGCCTTTCGATAGACTTTCAATCAATGCAACCACTTAACAGAGCACCTACTAGTGACTTATGTCATAGGCTGTATGGGGATTGAGGGGAGATACCAAAACACAGATATACCAGCCATTTTAACAGAACTTTAGTTAGGAACAATTCAAGAAGCCACTGGAGAACCCCACAAGGATATCCAACAAGTGTTCAGGTGGGATGAGGTAAGCAGTCAGAGAATTCTGACAGAGAAGTTTCACAGAGGATCCAGAGGAGCAGAAAACTTCAGAGAAGAATAATAATGAAGCTTGAAGGATAGATTCTGAAATGGCAAATGTGCTTCTTTGTCAGGAGTTTGCCAAGAGTGCTTCATAAAAGCTGGGGGCCTGATATTGCACACCTGTAATCCCAGCACACAGACTGAGGTAGGAGGATGCCAAGTTTGAGGTAAGCCTGGGCAAAATAGCAAGAGCCTGCCTCAAAAAAAAAATTTTTAATAAAAAATAAATAGTGTTCCATGTGTCTTCTTAAGGAAATTTTGAAAAGAGTTTAGAAAGAAAAATCTATTTATAAAAGATTATACTTTACAATATCTAACCTAATTAAGTCTGATGTTATTATACTAAAGTCTGTCACTGGCAGAAGACATGGGACTCCTGAGTGTGAGACAAAGGACTCATTCACACATCAATCGGCATGGCCATTCGCTTGTTTACATCTGTTCCGTCTGGCCCCAGGGCTGATGGGACAGTCTTAGGAAAAGGACCCCACACAACCTCTGGCCAATGTGTATAAGCCCCAGGTCCCAAACACAGTGCAGAGAAAGGAAAAGAGGGAATTACCTAGCTCTGAAAGGAGATGTTTTTAATCAAAAGCATTTTAGCATAACCCTAATGAAGGTCCTAGTAATACATCTTTTATGTTAGAGAATTCCTAGGCAACGCCCTTACCAATATTTTATTGTCTGAAAAATGTCAAATCGAAAGCGTTTTGGAATATTCACACAAAAGCATTGCAAGTAATTTAACTTTTATTCAATAGAAAGAGAAGCTTAAATCTAAGGATATGCTTTTTATTTTTTAATAGTGTGTAGCAGAGTGTAATGCCCTGATAAAAATATTCATCCCGTCTCTCTCAGCTTTTCCTTGATATGAATAGCAAGTATAATTTATTAATGTTTTCAACCAATTAGTTTCCATCCATAGCAAAGGCCTTTGCCTTTCTAACCTCCACAAGTTTCGACAGTCTGCTCATCTGAAGCAGCTACACTTAGCATTCTGGTCATTTCCCCACATATGCAACGTTCAAGTTACTGAAACAAATATATATTTTTAAAAATGAGTCTCCCTAATTGTCTCATTGAAATTTAATGGGATATCTCAATTGGGAAGTTTGTTTTCACTTCCCAACAGCATTGAGACAGACCAAAGGAGAACACAGGAAAGAATGGCCCAACACAAAGAAAAATGTCTTCCTGCACCATTTAAAAAAAAAAAAAAAAGAAAAAGGAAAATGATATTCAAGACACGTTTTCTTTGTGAGGTTTCTGAGTTACACAATTGCATCTCACATGTACATTCTTGTGTCATTTTTATAACGTCTCATCAATGAGCACTCTATGAAAACTGTTATGAAGTTATGAAAAATATCTTGGCTGGCTAAAGGTATTACATAAATATATCCCCTGGAGTGTACAAACTGCACCAGATGTAATTTAAATTTCTAATTAGGAACAGCACTGGTTTGATTGAAAAAGAAATGTAGTCAGGAGCAGAAATTCAGAAAGAGGTAGGCAAGTAAGTTACAGGAAACTTCAAGCCCAATAGTAGACATGTAAAGTCACTCTCCTGCCAAAAACTGGCTTGATGTTTTTCATAGTTAAGGACAATATTATTCTTAGGTATGATTGAAAAAGGGACTTGAGGTAATGAAAGGCACTGGATATTTTTCTAGATATAAGGGATTCCATATTGGCTTTTGTTACATGATCTTCAACGTAAGAAGCTTACTGTTTTTAACCAATGTGAACCTAAACTTGTGAGGCATTTAAGTTGCCAGCAGTTCTTTTTTAAACAGACTAAATTCTCAAGCAAAACAAAAAATAACAAGGTCTAGATGAATAAATCACCCTTGAACCCGCTCCTGTTATACCAGCCCCAACCCATGACATTCCATGCCTCAGGTGTGAATGGGCTCACAGTTCCTCTTTGGTTTCAGAACCTGTAGATCCTAAACTCTCTGCCACCCAAGAAGCTGTTGTGAAGTTGCTTAGTTCTTTCATCAATATAAGTCACAGCTTCTATTTGAGGGCTAAAACAGACACCCAGATAGTAAAGATAAATAAGCAGAAGCTCAATCAGAGCCTTTGTTTATAGGATGCCTTTATAGAAATTAGGAAGACGAACGAGCACATGTGCACAAATACATGACCCAGGATGCACTTGTCTTAGTGAGACATGATAACCTTATACACGATAAATTTATAATGCCCTTGCTTTCAAGTGGAGGTAACCCCATACCAGGGATATG